AAAGATTCAGAGGTGGAAAGGTCACTGAGCTCAGAGGTGACCCACATTCTTGAATATCTGTAGTACACCAGCATACCTCACCTTTTTTATAGGCTGGTTCAGTCTTCCCATGAACCCACATGGTAATGGATTGACTTGCTGCTAGGGCCATTTGGGTTTGTGTGATATCTTTTGACAATATTGTGCATACATGCTTTCCCAATCTAAGAGAACATGATGGCTGCATTAAGAGAGATGGTATATTTTTCCCACTTAAACCTCCCATGATCATTTGCTTACATAATAGCAAATATAATCAGGTCACATCTAACAATTTTATTAGTATGGAATGCAAACTAGTCAAGATCAAAATCCACAGAATAAAATGCAAATATGTATATATCTCTTTATAATGCTGGTGTGGTTTTTGAGGAATAGAAGTATATTGGTGATATCTAGTTCACCAATTTTGTATATTTATGTCAAATATTCCTATTGGCAGAATAAAAATAGCCTTATTTTTCCAATTACAAAAGTAAACATCTATTGTTAAAAAATTATATAATGATCATATCCATTTCAGAAGAAAAATAAAATTCCTGATGATCCCACCACTTAGTAACAGCAGTATTGTTTTGATTATATGCGCATCTATAATTTTTCTATGCCATATTTGTACGTTTATAAAAATAGGAAACATACTTTTAATTTGCTTTTTCCTTATAACAATGTCTTTCCTTCATTTATTTAACAATTTTTTGAGCCAGTCAATATTCTAAATATAGGGGAGAATACAGTGAAAATAAGCCAAACACACATGTATCATGTGCATCACACTATAAGTGTAAATAGACTATATAAATTATTTTAATAACCACATAGTACTCTGTTGTATAGATTCATCATTATTTATTCAATCAAATCTTCCTTTTAGAATGTCAAGGTACTGTATTAAGTTTTCTTCAATATAAGAGGAAGTATACATTGACCTTTGGTGAATTCTAAACCATGTTAAATTATGTCTGCTAATAATAGGATTCAGCTGGTAGTGTTACTCTGTTAAATATGACTTTATAAACAGTGATATGATTCTTGGCAGATGTGGCTAAAAAGATCAGACAGTGTGGGCCTAGCAGTCTCTCATTTGATGGATGACTATGGAGATCCTGGAGGTGTCTGAGAGTTGTTTCCAACTCTACCTCTGTCTCAAAGGCTGCTCTCAAAGCATGGTTCCATTCCTTATAAATGGGCACCATGTTGTCATTTTTGACTGCTGTTCCTTCTCAGCCATTTATGGTTATGCAGTGATGTGTGAAGCTGGCCTTCTGGGGATTCTGGAAGCATTTCTCCTCCCCTCTTTGATAGGAATTGCTGTTCTTTTGTTCTTTAGCCAAAAACCAGCAGGCCACCTTCTTGCCATCTGTGTGAGTCCTGCACACAGTGACATGAGGTGATGTCACAGAATCTATTTGTTAATGATTTGAGCACACTATTTGATGTTCAGTACAAAGCAAAACATAGCCCAGGAAAATTATAAACTTTTACAGTATTAGAGCTTGTACAGCCTCTGTTTATGGACAAGGATATCAAGGTTTAGAGAAGTTCAATGAATTGCCTCAAGTCTCATAGTTAGTGAATTTAGTTAGAATTTCTGATTTCTCATCACACGCTCATTCCAGGGGATCAGCTATTCCAAGTTGTGGTAGTTTCATATAGGATCCTTATAACAAGTCGGGGAACACATTGCATTGGAGCATTTCTATGTGGCCTTCAATTAAAATGTCTTCTGTACCAAACCATGCCAGTTTCCCAAATATGGAATTTTCATTTATTTCTCTACTTTGTTAATCTGGGAGAGGCTTTTAGATAGCATGCAATATGTATTACAAAATTCAGTGATTATTCTCAGTTTCAGTGTGCTTTCCATTAGATGTCCAATGTGACCTCCATCTTTAGGCTTATGATTGGAACATCTCACTGCTACAATCTTGCAAAGGCAGCTCCAGCGAACTGCATGTTAAGATGAAAGAACCCTAGCAGGTTTCTGATCACATTTATCTGGGTCATGGACTGACTTGGATTGACTGGTAGATTCTACTCAGATCTTGTGAAAGTCACATTTTCTTCTTTTGGAGAGTACTGAAATCTGATTTTCAAAGAAACTCAGTGGCAAAGAACTGAGACGCTTTGCAATAACATGCTACCACACATGACTGAATCAGTCAGGGTCACCTCAGGTGAATTGGGCTGGCTACTAAATAACCATACAGAGGCAGAAAATATCTTTTTGGGGGTTCAGTGACAGCTCCTCCACCTCAGCTCCCACAAAGGAGGCAAGAGAGGCAGGCAAAAGAGAGAGAGCTCGCCTGAGACCCTCCTATTTATTGAGGAGAAGCCATTCATATAATATTCTACCCAAACAAGGCAAGGGGTCAGGTTTCGGAGGGTTGAGTCTTGTTTGGTGATGTCTTGGTCAGCAGTTTGACTGACATCTTAGAAAGTCACACCCATATCAGGTGCTGTGTGGTGATCACAGGCAGAGTGAGCAAAAAGCACACATACATCCCACAGCCCAGTCAGAGCAGCAATGTCAGTCCAGTCCCCTCATGTACTCAAATACGCATAGCTTACACACACAGCCCATGAATGGCTTTTGATAGTAACGATTGTTTTTGTGAGGGAAACTGCAAAAGATCTTCGTTAATAAAGCAAAGCAGTATATCTGACATTGCATATCATCAAAAATTACTGAGGTTTAGTCTTTTTTTTTTTTTTGGTGGTGGTGAGGTACTAGAGACTGAACTCAGGGGCACTCAACCATGAACCAATCCCCAGCCCTATTTGGTATTTTATTCAGAGACAGGGTCTCACTGAGTTGCTTAGCACCTTGCTTTTACTGAGGCTGGCTTTGAATTTATAATCCTCTTGCCTCAGCCTCCAGAGCTGCTGGGATTACACGTGTATGCTACCTTGCCCAGCTGAGGTTTCGTCTTAAAAAGTGCATTTTTTTGAGGGCATAGTGATTAAGAGTCCATACTCTAGGCCAATTGCTTAGGTTTACATTCTGAATCTGCCTGTACTGTGTAGCTTTTGGCAAGTTTCTTAATCTTTCTATCCTCTATTCCTAATATTACTGGTACCAGGTGATATGTTGGGAATCTTAAATGAGGTAATACAAAGTACCTAAAACACTATCTGGCAATTGATAAACACCATATAAGTGTTTACTATTATTATTCTCAAATTTCTCATTTCATTCATTCATTCATTCAATTATTCAATTACAATTTATTGGAATCTCTTCTGTGTGCTACTTAAATAATATAAAGATTCCCAGCCCTTAAGAATCTCATAGCTTAGTGGGTTGAGAGACATGACGAAAACCATGACACTGTAGGTATATGGCAAGGAAAGTGACATAATGGAGAACTATGAGTGCCATGGAAGTAAGACATAGAAACACCTAAGGGGAAGGCTTTACAGGGGCTGTTTGAGCTGGGAAAAGAAGAATGAAAAAGAGTTGGTCAGCAGTCATTAGGAGTGGGCATTCCAGGCATGTACAGAAACAAGGCCTAAGAGGATGGTAGAATAACTAGAACAAAAAACACAGTGGCTGAGTGCAACCCAATTCAGGGCCTGTTGATATAAGCAGGTAGGAACCAGAAAGGCCTATATTCTACAGAGGTTCCTGTGAGAGATGATAAACCTTCAAATGTGGACATTGGCTATGGAGCCCTCATTGAGAGGGAGCCCAGCAGTGGAGTAGGGTGAGGAGCAATAAGGGCAGTGGGAACACCTGTCATATCTGGTTATGTCTGTCCCACAGCTGATTGGAAGACACCCAGGCGCTATTCTGCTCATCTATACAGTTTCTCTCCGAAACTTAAATGGTTATTTATGGGCATGTGATATTATGAAAAATGTCTATTTTGGTTTTTGTCCATAGTTCCTGGCTTATACCTCCATTGTCTTTATTTCCTAAATGACTACAACAATAAATTTGAAGATTTTTGCCTTTTGGCTTTGGTTCCTGAAGCAGCTTTGTTATAATGTGTGTGTGGGCAGGGGGGAGGCACTTTCAGCTTCAGAAGCAGGTTTCCCCAAAACCAAAGGCTTTCTCTCTAACCTGATTTCACTTGCTCCTTTCCCTCTCCAAGGCAGGCCATTGAAATCAGAATTTCTCTTCCCCAAGGCAGGTCATAGAAATTAAAAATAGAATCTAATTTTCTCTCGCCTTTTCTTCTATAAAATGAATTCTCTGATATTACATCATAAGACCGCCATTGCAGAAGGAGTCCTACCTCCCACACACTGGAGAAGGAATGCAACACAGAGAGGCCAAGATGAATCTGAACAGACAGGCCATGCTGGGTTTCCCTACTCAGCCTATTAGCACAGGTCCTATCTTTTTGACCAATTACATTTCTACATAGTTGTCCCATGCTTTATACCTAGGCAATGAGCTCTCCTTAAAAACCCAAGTGGACAAAGTTCCAAGCTTTGGGACAACTAAGCATGTGGCGGCTTACAGGAGAATAAGTAAGAACTCATCCATGTGCTGGGAAGATGGCACACTCTAACTCCATGGGGACCTCTCCAGACTTCACCCTGTGAATTTCTTCAACTTGCTATTTATTTATATCATTTAAATTATATCATTAAATTTTCCTTTATAATAAACCAGTAAACATAAGTATTTCAGTGAGTTCTGTGAGCCTCTGTAGCAAATTAAATGATCCTGAGGTGAGAGATAGTCATTGGAAACCCAACGCAAAACTGGTTGGTCAGAAGTTTCAGAGGCCAGGATTTAGGACTAGTATCTGAATCAAGGGAAGTCCTCTGGGAGATCTGACACTATCTGTCAGAACTAAATTGGATTAGTGTATACCCAGCTGGTGTCCAAAGCAAAATTGCTGGCTTACTGGTGGGGAAAAAATCCCTATGCGTTTTGGGATCAGAGAGTGATGGGTTGTGAGTATATCGTGGAAGAAACTGAATTTCTTTTTCTCTTATCTCCTCAGGGCATGTGAACATATTGTCACCATAAGGGACTTCAAGAAGATCTTTCCAGAGGCAGAGGGAACATCTACTTGGAACTCATGACACATTGCAGAAGTTAAGGACACATCAAGTTTTAGCAAAGAGGAAAGAGCCCTATTAAAAGTGAAAGGTAAAGATACACATACTCAGAACAGCATGTGTGTGTGTTCTTTTTTGTTAAATATTTTTAAATATATCTTTTTAGTTGTAGATGGACACCTTTATTTTATTTATTTATGTGGTACTGAGGATCAAACTCAGTGCTTCATATGTGCTAGGCAGGCACTCTGCCGCTGAGCCACAACCTCAGCTCCCGTGTGTGCTCTCTTGAGAGTGAGAAGTGCTTTTGAGTCTCAGGCTCTTCTTTTAAACAACACTTTATGAAGGGCAGCATGGGAAGGTATGTGGGAACCATGCCAGCTTGATGAACTCAGCTCTTTGATTGTGGACCACAAGATATTTCTGGTGGTTAATCTTCCAAGATTGACATTGTCTTTTTTATCTAGGTAATATTTGGAATGTGCCTATATTGTAGATTTTTAAAATACATCTCCCTTTGCTTTATCTAATTTGAAAATCCACTGTGTAGGCTAACAGTACATTTAAGCTTTAATCAAAATGAGGCAATTTTCACCAGGCATGGTGGCACATATCTCTAATCGCATCTACTCAGGAGGCTCAGAAAGAAGTATCACAAGTTTGAGGCCAGCCCCAGCAACTTAGCCAGACCCTGTCTCCCAATAAAAAACAAAAAGGGTTGGGGGTATTATTACAGTGGCAGAATACTCCTGAGTTTAACCCTCAGTACTGTGGGGGAAATAAGACAATTTTCATAGAAAAGTGAATTTATAGTCACTAAAATTTGTAGATTTCTCAGAAATTTGGGAGTGACAGATCAGGAGGAAAAAACAGGTCTGGGGAGAAGGTCTGATGATGGGGCTTTGAGATTTACAGCTACAGTCTCCTTCCTTCCCTTTTGTCTCCTTTCTACGATCTTTATTCCTGCTATCTTTCCTCCATGTACTTTTTACTAAAAAGGGAGGAGGAAGTCACAACAGTCATCAGAAACATAATTTCACTGTTTTATTGAATGTTACTGAAAACGAAATGTATTATTGGTAGTTTTCAGTTTAAACTAGGTAAACAAAACATTTTCTTGTTTTTTTTTTTTTCTTCTTCCAGTGTTGAGGATTGTATGAAACCAGGACCCCACACATGCTAGGCAAGTGCTCTGCCACTAGGCTATATCTCCAAGGCCTTTTAAAAAATTTCAACAGGGTCTTGATAAATTGCTAAGGCTGGCCTCAAACTTGTGATCCTCTTGCCTCAGCCTCCTGAGTAGCTGAGATTACAGGTGCCCCACCATTCTTGACTGTGATTTTCTTTTTTAAAAAAAATTATTTATTTTTGAAACGCTAAGGATTAAATTCAATGCTTCACTCATGCTAGGCAAGCACTATGCCACTAAGCCACAAACCCAGCCCTGTGATTTCTTTTTAAAAAAACATTTAAATGAACAATTTTTAGCTAAAATATTAAATTATTACCATGAATAATGCACCTACCTTACTTTTCTCTGATTTTCCTAAATTATCTTTAAATCTTTAAAAAATATTTTGAAAGGGGCTTCTAAGTTTTAAGGCAAAGCTTTAAGATTGAACTCCTACATAGTCCAAGGCATGATTCTGTAACTTTTTATAAATATTAAATGAATTCAAGACATAGCATACTCAATAAATAGAAATTTTAATTTCAATTCCATTTTGAGCCTATTCAAAAATCTTGGGCTAAAGGTATACCTCAGTGGTAGAATGCATGCTTAGCATGAGCACCAATTCCTAGCATCCCAAACACACACACACACACAAAGGTAGTTCGGGGAGAAGGATTGTGAGGATTGTGAGGAAGCACAAAATTTTACATTCTTTTTTAAAAAATATTTTTAATTGTAGATGGACACAATACCTTATTTTATTTATTTATTTTTATGTGGTGCTGAGGATTGAACCTAGTGACTCACACGTGCTAGGCAAGTGCTTTACCACTGAGCTATAACCCCAGCCCTACATTCCTGTTTAATTTTCAAAAATTGCATTAAAATCAATTATAAGGCAGAAAATATATATAGTTGGCCCTCAGTATCTGTGGGAGATCGGTTCTATGCCCCCACTGCCCAGGGATATACCAGGATCTGAGGATGCCCTGGCCCCTTATATAAAATGACATAGTATTTACATAACCTATGCACATCCTCCTGTGTACTTTAATACATTGTAAATGCTATGTAAATAATATACTGTTTTGTTTAAAGAATGACGAGAAAAAAGACATGTTCGACTTTGTGTGTGTGTGTGTGTATGTGTGTGTGTGCTTGCGTGTGGCACTGGGGATTGAACCCAGGGACAATCTGCCATTAAGCTATATCTCCACCTTTTAAAAAATGATTTTACTTTGAGACAGAGTCTCACTAAATTGCCCAGGCTGGCCTCAATCTTGTAATTCCCCTGCTTCAGTCACCTAAATCTCTGGGATTAGAGGTGTGTGCCACCACACCTGACTCACCCACCCTTTTTAAAGAGGATAAAGACACAGACTAATTGAATGTTTTAGGCATAGCCAACAGCTGAGTAGAGCAAATATTAACAGCCAGACTTTCTACCAATCCATAATTTGTTTTTTCTTCAACCTTTATTCAGTAAATAATTATGAAGTGTCTTCTATATGCCAGATGCTATTTTAAACATGGTAACCCGGGTGGCTAATGGAGGAGTGGAGTATATGAATGATCATGGCTCCAGGACAAAAGCAAGTAGAGGGAGGCAAAGCCTAGTCCTATGGGAGCTGGGAATAGATCCAATCTAGTCTAGGAAATGCTTCCCAATAGAGCTAAATCCTGGGCAGAGTGTTGAAGATGGGCTGGGGTTGCGAGTCTAGGGGGTACTGGTTTGGGTGCTTAGGAGACAGAGAGTGAGAACACTTTGGAAGAATTCCCAGTGTAATGATCCAGGCCTTAGGCCATAGAAATTGCATGCGGAAGTGGACTCGAAGAGGAGACTGGAATAGAGAGGTCACAGAGAAAAGGGCTGTTTGCATGGCAAGGGCTTAGTATTTGTATTGCAAACATACAATGGTGAGTTATTACGTTTTGAGGAGGAAGTTATGATCATATTTCCATTTTTTATCCTATCACCCTGAAGTGGCTTAAAATGAAGGGAAAGAATGAAGTGAGGGTATGGTTGTGTGTGGGGGAGAAGCCATTATGCAAGGAAGAAAGGGCATTTATGGTAATTTGTTGTTATCAGCAACTTAAATTAATTTTGAGTGAATTAAGGGAAAACAGTAGAAATGGAAAAAGCAAATGGATTCCAGAAATGCTGAGATAAGATCAGCAGCTCTAGATGTTTGTTAGAAGTAGGGGCAGGATCAGTCCTGAACTGATGGACATATTTGATGGTGAGTTTGAAGTACCTGTGGACATTCAGTTATATACCTCGAGAATGGTTAGATATTTGAATCCAACCCTCAGGAAAGATCTGGCTGGAGGCATATTTGGGAATCAGCTGGTACAGGTTCCAACTGAAGCTAAGGGCCTGGGAAAAGTACTTGAGTGAAAGGCATAGTACAGACACTAAGAAGGATGGATCTTTGGGAACACAGCTGTCAGGGATGGTGGGATAAGAGAATAGAGGCAAGGCAGAGAGGTAGTGTCACTTAACCCAAGAGAGGAGGAACTAGTTAGCAATGGGAGTTCTGCAGAGCTCAGGAGAGATAATCACTCAAACAAGCTAAAAGCTTGTTTCAAACCTTTTCAAAGGTTTCATCAAACCTAAGCTTTCACTAATGCCACTGCCCTTACCCCACTCCCTTATTACTCCCCAGCACCCCTTTACTCACAGACCAACAAGAAGCGACAGCATTCTTATGCTTGTATTTTGCTCCTTTCTTGGGATGCCTCATCCTTGTCTAAGTTCTGTCCATCTATCCAGACCTATCACAAGTCCATTTTGCCCATGGCTGCCTGCATGTGCTCCAGTTCTGCTCTATACAGACCTGTATAATTTTACTTTGTGTCACTGGAGGAGTTCCTGGAGAGGGGGACCTTGTCTCAGAATAAATGGGGTCCTTGGTACATGACAGAAAAGCATTTCAGCACAAGCCAGTGACACAGACAGATATATTTAGGAAAGCAGATACACATTCAAGGAGAATGTGGGGTAAAGCGTGGAATACACATCCAAGAGAGGATGCAGGCCATCTCCAGAGGGAGACAGCAACCCCTTGGTCTGGGGTGTTACTATACATAGAGGGAAAGTAGCTAAGAGGTGAAGGGCAGAGGTATGCAATTTCATGCCAGTTTTCCTGCACTTGTATATTTCTCTCAAATGATGTTACTTTTTTCAGGCAAGAACATGGGCCAAAGATATGGTAGGTTGCTCAGGAATTGCTTATTTTGCATTTCAAGATTCATGGGCATATTCAGTGGCTCACAGGCCTTTCTCTTTTGAGACTCAGTGTATCTTTTTCTGTATCCCTAAATTCCTATCTCATTTACACTTGATTATGTGCCATTTGGTGTTTTTAGCTATTGATTCATGAAATCTGACTCTTTTTACAAGCTTCTTCAAATAAGAAGTCATCTTTTTCTGTGGTCTCTGTAGCCTGGAATAGTGTTGAACAGATAATCCTTACTCTGAAAAAGCTTTCTGGTTGATCAAAATGATCAGTTTGCCTTTTGACTTGTCCAGGTCATGAGGATTCTTTTTTTTTTTTTTCTTTTCTTTTTGTGGTATTAGGGATTGAAACCAGAGGAACTCTACCACTGAACTACATCCCAGGCCCTTTATACTTTTTATTTTAGGACAGGGTCTCATTAAATTTCCCAGGCTGTCCTCAAACTTGTGATCCCTCCTGCTTCAGCCTTCCAAGTAGTTGGATTCAGGATTTTTTTTGGTTCCAAGAATTAAACCCAGGGTTGTTTAATCACTGAGCCACATCCCCAACCTATTTTTATTTTTTTTATTTTGAGACAGGGTCTCACCAAGTTGCTTAGGGCCTTGCTAAGCTGCTGAGGCTGGCTTCAAACCTGAAATCCTTCTGTTTCAGCCTCCCAAGCTGCTGGGATTACAGTAG